CTCCTGGTTCGATCCAGGGCACCACTGGGGTCTCCTGAGCCCCACCAGGAGTGATCCTTGAGCATAGAGCCTAGAGTAAGCCCTGAGCACCGCTGGGTGTGGTCTAAGTAACCCTCTTCCTCCGAAAGGAAACGACTTCCCCCTCTGCCACACTACGACACCCGGATGGTCACTCAAAGTGTCCCCAGCCATCACTGCCACACCGATATGATCACCCACGGTGCCCTGGCCATCACTGCCACATCGGATGGTCACCCATGATGCTGCGGGGTCGTTCCTGGCATGCAGGGCAGGGTTAGGGCTGCAGCTTACAGCCTCAAGCCTACACGCCAGGTGCTCAGCCAGGAGCTGGCCCCAGGCCCCTGGAATTACCTTGATTGTTTTTTATAGGAACCGCATCAGGCCTTGCTGAGGGCATGGGGTGCCAGAGGTCAAATTCAGGGCCAGGCATGTGTCTACTAATTGAGTTCTCTCCCTGGTTCCCCTTCCCCAGAAAATCATCATCTTTTTATGAATTATTTTTAAGAAGTAAACATTATTATTATTATTATTACTATTATTGGCCTGGAGCGATAGCACAGCGGGTAGGGCATTTGCCTTGCATGCGGCCAACCTGGGTTCAATTCCTCTGTCCCTCTGGGAGACTCCAGCAAGCTACCGAGAGTATACCACCCGCACAGCAGAGCCTGGCAAGCTCCCCGTGGAGTATGCCAAAAATAGTAACAAGTCTCACAGTGGAGACATTACTGGTGCCCACTAGAGCAAATCGATGAACAACAGGAGGACAGTGCTACAGTGCTATAATTTTTAATTCCTCATCAACCTTAAATTTTACTCAGTTCTTTCACAACTTATCCCCGTTTATCTTCATGAATTTCCACTTCGGTTCTATAGAACCCCTGGCTTCTAAAATTCTATGTAACGTGTTTGCAAGTTTTCTAAGTTCCTCTCTGGTTCTTGTCATTAAGTTATTTTATGAAATCTCATTTCACTGTGTATAGTGTTATGAAACTCTCCCTTGTTTCTCTTTTCCCATTTATTTAAACTTGGGCATTAGACCATCTATTCGGAATCTCTGGATAAATTCTTGTCATCCCCGTGCTGATGGATTTGATTATTTCTAGGGTTTTTTTGTTTGTTTGTTTCTAGCTAAGACATTAATGCAGGCTTTGAAGAACATGATTTGGAAGGGAAACAGTACATGGAAAAATTAAGTATTAAGTAGAATACATTGGTAAAATGGCTTGCAGGTGTGGGCATAAATTACATGTTTTTATGGAGAAGAACAGAAAAAGAAAAAAGGAAGTCAGTTTAGCAGCACGAGAATGCAACTGAGCTGGACAGATGAAGAGCCCATCTGCAGCTGGTGTGCAGCTGTGAAGCAGGGCATCCCCTGGGACGAGCATAATGCTTCCTCCCCTCTTTGCCTCCTCCCCAGGACTCCACCTGACATTAATGATCCTGTAATGTGCTACAGTGTGCACATTCGCAGAAGTAAACAGCAATCAAGGATGAAGCAACAAGTTCTGGCTCGCCCCATCTCAGGGAAAAACTGAGGAGGAGCCTGAGGGGGAAACACAGACATTGGATAATGCATAAAAGCAGAAGGGGTTCCTGGTATGAAACGCCCGGGACAGAGAGAAGGCGAGGGAGCTTGTTCCCAATGAGTCACACATTGACAGTCCTCCTGTCCTCTTCCCAGAATGTTTCCTGTCCCTGCCAATGAATGGATGATGCTCCCTTCATGGTTCTGCCCTTCCCACTGCTGCATAGAGGCAATATTTCTGGGAATGGAACTGGGAAGGGTGGGCAGTGGAGTCACCCTCACCTCACCTTCCTCCAAGGTTTCGGATGATGGCAGGGAAAATAACCTCAAAGAAAGACCAAAGATCAAGCCCGCTACACAGCAACAAGCACAAAACAAATTTTGGCTTGCCAGAATTTGGACTTGGAAAAGATCTTGCATTGGGGGGCCCCGAGGAAGGCAGTGCACTGGGCAACCCTGCAGATGACAGGCGGGTGGTGTCAGGTGATTTCGTTCTGTTTCCCCAGAGACCTGCCTCCCATATTCTGTTTTTGTTTGGTGGCCACACCTGGCAGCGCTCAGGGCTGACTCCTGGCTCTGCACTAAGGGGTCCCTCCTGGTGGCTCAGGGGACTACATGGGGTGCTAGGGGTCAAACCCATGTTGGCCTCATGCAAGGGAAGTATCCTACCCCCTGTAGCATCACTCCAGTCCATCCCTTCCATATTCTGATGATTGATGGTTCCCTTTCATAGACTTTTAGAGTTGTGAGTTTCTTTCCTTTTCTTATGTTAATTATGGTGAAAGTTCAGCAGAAATTATGAATGGTACAAAATGTACATTTTCTACATACCTGAGATGAATTGTTAGTATTATGTGTTTTTATATTTGGGGATCAACATTTTTTGTTAAATTTATATTTTAAAAAGTCACTTGGCTGGTACAACATGGAAAGTATCATGCTAAGCGAAATGAGTCAGAAAGAGAGGGATAGACATAGAAAGATTGCATTCATCTGGGGGATATAAAGTAAGAAAATATGAGATTAATACCCAAGAATAGCTGAGATCAGCACCAGGAGGATTACTCCATAACTTAGAGGCCAGCCGGGTATTCTAGGGGAAAGGGCAGTTCAGATAGAGAAGGGAGCACCAAATAAAGGGTGTTAGGAGGATCCTCCCAGGAGGGGAGATGCATGTCGAAAGTAGACTATGGACTGAACATGTTTGCCACTCAATGCCTCTTTTGCAGACCACAACACCCAAAACGAGAGAGAGAACACAGGGGATTGCCCTGCCACAGAGGCAGGGGGAGATGGGGGGATGGGGGTGGGGGGGATATTATCCATGGTGGTGGAAAATGGGCACTGGTGGAGGGATGGGTATCTGATCATTGTATAATCGAAACCCAAGCACAAAAAATAGTAAATCTACAACTGTACCTCATGGTGTTTCACTAATAAAAATTTTTTTTTTAAATTGATTCAAATAAAAAAAAAAGTCACTTGGCAACACAATACACGTATTGCAACTGAAGGCAAAAGTGCTTTATTCAAGAATGTGTTTGCTAATTTACAGAAAGATTTAAGAATCTCACCCTTTCTCATTATTGTAAATAGACATATTTTCCCATTGTGATTAACATTCTGAAAATTTTTTCATACAAATGTAAGTTTATGGAAGAAAAGAAGCAGCAGCAAGGCCAGCCAATGCCATTCTGGACTGAAGGTCGCACACATCCATCAGGTTAGCCAACAATCAACCCTGAAAACATCAACCCAGGAAGCAACCCCAGGAAACTATTGATCATCTGAGATAAGTGTAGTCTGTGGCCCAATACGTTTTTGGTGGAGTTGCCTCAAAGCACGTCACATGACCAATGAGAACCTTTATACCATCCATCAGTAATCTTTAATAATGAGAAGCCATGAAGAAGGTGGATCTTGCACCACAGCACAAAGGAGGAAAAGAGAACTAGCAGAGCAGAGGGCCTGCAAGACACAGGCATGGTCAACATAGTCCACATCCCTTCTCCTGCCAATATTGCTTCGGCTACCCTTAACCATAAAGGCACTGGGAGGAAGACTGGTATGACCACTACCAAGATGAGAAATCGACCTTCTATGCGTGAGTTAGGCATGTCAGTGGTCAGTCCAGCACGCTCAGCTGAAGCAGAGAGATCAAGAACTCACAACAGCAGGGGAAACGAAGGTTGCAAGAGAATTGCAAGATCCTAGAGTCTTGAGAACTCAGAGATCCACTTTCAATCAGCTCGTTTGGTGTGGGAGAAAGTCAACAGCTTTCCCGCCGGTTTCCATGGCCAACATCCTGCACCCAGCTCTTGGGACACTCGCATGTGACGACAGGATAAAAAGAGGTAAATGCGGAGCCTGGGAGTGGGGTCCACCTGAGACTAAGGCTTCTCTGTCCACAGCGAGGGCAGTGATTCTCTGCCCAGCTCACTGTACTTGGTATTTGGGAGTAACTATAGATGAGAATGCTTTGTGGAAGAAAGAAAAAGAGAGGTGGGGGGAGAGTTTTATCATAAGACTCAGGAAGACCAAGACTAACTGTTTTAAATTGACTTGGTAATCTCTTCTCTCAAATTCACCAGATACCATTTTCCTGCTCTGAGCAAAAGAAAAAAAAAAGCTGACTGGGGATAGTCTTACTTTTTATTTGTTTGTTTGTTTGTTTGTTTTTTGAGTCACATCCGGTGACACACAGGGGTTACTACTGACTCTGAACTCAGAAAGTACTCCTGGGGACCAGACAGAGATGACACAGATAAAACCCAGCTTGGCCACATGCGAGGCAAATGCCCAACCCACTGTACTAACACTCTGGCCCCCGTCTTCCATCTTAAAACTATCACTTAAGTCGCCCACAAACCCTCCTGTCCCCAAGTGAGAAGCATCTCATAGAACAGCCAGCCTCTGTGCAGTAAACTGGTAGCAGGGAGACACAAGTCATCTCTGCCCGTGACGCACAGTGATTTCACTCCTCTAGAAAGAGGGCTGAGTGTCCAGGACACACAGTATGGGTGTGTTTTCTCTTGCCACCACGTTCGATTGTTTTCGAAGTTCACCATCCCCAAGAAGAGGTCTCATAACAACTTTCAAGATTCCTTCGTGAGGATGACAGCAACTTGAATAAAGTGAATGTCATTCTCAATGATGTGGACTTGCAGGTCACAGCAGACGGGGGAGGGGAGTTAAACTTACACTCTTGAAAGTTTAGGAAGCAAAACATTAGAGGTGGAAGAAGAGCCCTTTGACACTAACAGAAAAATCAGCTACAGGGTGAAAGAAAGATAAGGACAAACATGGACCGGGAGGGACTCCAGCCTTGTTGCAAGCAATGATGGAAGAAAGGATACTTGAAACAGTAACCAAGATCCGAGTACCCATATTTGACCAGGGGAAGATTGCATTGCTGTTTTTCTTTCAGCTCCCAAGTGATAGAGGCTGTGTTCTCTTAAGGAGAGAGAACCCTGCCATAGAAGAGAATGGTTTGGGTTTTTTTGTGTCTGATGAAAAAGAGAAAAGGATGATTGACATTAAACGTCACCCAGGAGGGACTGGACTTTTCCATGCCCACGGCCCCACTGGCTGCTGCTGCCTCTGAGCCATTTTCATCCACCTCCACAAAGGTTTTATGAATAACTTTCGATAGGTAAAAATTGGGATTTGGAGAGATTCCAGTAAGATCCGCTTTCGTTTCATCAAAGATATCCGTGATCCCCATGTCCTGGAGAATAGAATTAAGATCGTAGCTGTCTTCCAAGGTGAACTGGGGCAAGGAGACAGCTACTCTTTCCTCTGACAGGTTTTCTGAGTTGCTCCAGGCCATTAGTTTCTCGTAGGTGATGCTCTGTTCAAGCTACAGGAAGAAGAAAAAGATGCGTAGGATCAAGTTGCGAGGTTGCAAAGAATGTCCCAGTGATTTCAAAGAGCCTGAGTCTAGTTCAAGAAGAGGTAAAAGTCTTCAGTTTCTATCCCTGACCTTCAGAATACTCTGATTTTATTTATAACTGCTCTAAGAATATCTCTTTCCTCTTTAGAAGGAAAATGGTGTGCTTTGCTGAATACAGACAAGTATTCAAAGCCCAGCAAAGCTCCATTGATTAAGATGAGACTCAGTCTCACCTCTGAAATATAGAGGTGTCCATTGAATGCTTGCAGGAGCATTAGAAAATAACATATGAAAGCACTTAACACATTGCTGGCATACAATCAATTTTCAATACTGTTTATTTCTGTTATTACTGTGCTGGTATTTCTCACTTTCCCTTCTATCTCTTTTTATCTCACCAGATAATATGAAACAGTGCCTCTCGAGTCATCAGTCAGTGCTACTTCACAAGTCATCTAATCCATGATTAATATCATCTAATGTCAAGGTTCCATGCATCCCAAAACAGGACTTAACTTTTAGCTGAGCTGTGGCAAAATAGTCTGAACAAAAGACCAGAGGTCAGCATTGTCAGAGAAAATGAAACGCTGTTTTATTTAGAGCAATTCTCAAGTTACCCAACATTGCTATCCTTGGACTGTGTGAGGGGTGGATTTCCTTAGAGAGGAAAGCCCTATCTGACATTTGTTCTTTTGTTCTAAACAAATATGGAATGAATCATACATCAAATTCAGATCCTTATGGATTCTTTGAAATCTCTGATTGCTCAGCCACTGTCCTTCCTCAACATGTCCCATTCCACAGATCTGTAATGGAACATTCTACAAAGGCATGAAAACAGAGCTTCACCTCTTTCAGGCCTTTCAGGTTGTCTTCCGAGGCCGCCGGCAGCAGGATGAACATGCTGAGCCCTCCCTTGGTGTATTTCATTTCAAGGACCTGAGCCTTCAGCTCCTCTATGAAGCCGATGTTAAAGAGACCCTTTTGGTTCATCATCTTCACACACTTACTTTCATTCTGCAGCAGACAGGGGAGATAACAGACAAGATAGATAATCACAGAACTTCCATGGTAAATGTACCAGCTGACACGGTCCCCAACATCCCCCAAAACATGGGTCTGGGTCTTTACTGGAAGTTCTGAGCAGCATCAGTGATCCACCCTAAGAGAGCTCTCTGGCCACTCAAAGACTTGCCCTTCCTTTACCAATATTTGATCTTCAGTGTTCTTCCCTGGCCCTCTCAGAGAGCCTGGCAAACTACCGAGAGTATTCAGTACGCAAAACCAGTAACAAGAAGTCTCACAATAGAGACATTACTGGGCCTGCTCGAGCGAATCGATGAACAACGGGAGGACAGTGTTCTTCACTCCGAAGATCACGGTTGATGTGTCCATTGGCTATGCAATCAGGAATCCACAGTGCAATGGGAACAAACCCAGCTGGGTTTCTATCTTAAGATCTGTTCTACTCAATCTCTTGGGCTCACACAACCACTCTATCCCTTCTGACCTGAATGATACTATTACAAAGCCACTGAGATCCTTTAATAGGGAAATAACCATGTATCTATTAAAAGTGACACTTGTTCCATTGGCTTCCATCAAAGGAAAGTACCACCTAGACCCTTTAAATGTGATAATAGGTTGAGGATGTTTGAGGAGTCATTAACCTACAGATAAAGATGTACAAAGCTAAAAAGAATGTGTTTTGCATGAAATGACATCATTAACAGCATTGTGAACCACAGAGCCTAAAATAAATTTTTTCAAAGAATAACTAGCAAAACAAGTGGAGAACTGGGATCTGATCCTTCCCTTCCCGCTGATTCTCCAGTCTTATGGCTTAGAAGAAAACATTCACAGATGTGATGTTAAGACATGCACTTGGCAAGTAACATCCTTGGGGTGGAAAGATAGTGAGGGGATAAGGCCCTGCCTTGCACGCAGCCAACCCCAAGCACAGCCAGAAGGAAGTCTGAGTGTAAAGCCAGAAATGAGCCCTGAGCTCTCGCGGGTGTGGCCCAAATATTCCGCCCTCAAATAAACAACTTCACCACTGCATTTTGTGCTCAGCTTCTATATGGAAACATTAAGAACACCAGTTTATTTGGGAGAACAAATAAAATAATGAATGAAAATAGTGAAATATAAGATTTCATGAACTTCAGGTATTGCTTCTGATTTATAGAAAATGTTACTATAGACCTAAGTTGTCAGTGGGTGGGGTGCTTGCCCTGCAGACAACCAATGCAGGTCCTGTCCCTCGCATCCCATACGAACCCCCAAGCACTGCCAGGAGTGATTCCTGAGTGCAGAGTCAGGAGTAACCTCTGAGCATCACTGGGTATAGCATAAATAAATAAATAAATAAAAGTTGCAACCCAGAGATCTTGTTCTTAGATTTGAGTCTACAACTTGTACAATATTCTCTGTGGAAACTATGAGTGGAACATTGAAAAATCCCCATGTTATGAGAAAGTACCTCACTGAGTAAAAATGGGGCCTCCACCGTGTTCTCACAGTCAAAGTATTTTTCCCATTTGGCCTTGAAATAAACAGCATTCACCAGCACCAGCACCGTGGAATCAGTAATGGCATCCTCATTAAAGAGCTCCTTGATTTTACCTACAGAGAAGGGCACCAAGAGATTATTCCAAATATGAATCGTATCAGAAATATTCACACAGACAGAGGTTTCCATGCATCCCTGAGGCACTGCATGTCTCAAACACTTATAGTCTGGGTGAGGTGGAAGGGAGGGAAGGATAGGTAGATTGGTAGTGGAGGAGTTGCACGGGAAAGGAATCTTCTCACCCTAATCTAAGGAAACTCCAGAGCCCTATCATGGAATTTCCTTTGATTCTCTGTATCAACCTTTAATGATTGGGAGCCATTTGGTCCTCCAGTAGACATCCAGGACATTCCAAGGAGGCCACAGGTAGAGCATCATTTAAATGGGGGTGAGGGGAATACGTGAGGGATAGCTGTTTGGACAAGAGAGACATAGGATGTAAGTAAGGTTGAAAGGGTGCTACCATAGGAAAAAGATTGAGAAAATTCTCACTATGGTCTGAATTTGTCATCAGATGTTTTCCTCTGTGGGTCACTCAAAGTGTAATTCCCATTACCCAAATATAGAATAATCCCCTTGTGTAAAAGAGCTATGATGTAACTTCTTAGTGGGAAGTAGAGAGTATGTTCCTAACTATCAAAAAACTGCATGTAAATATATGAAGCTATGATAGAAAAGCATCCACATGTCTTTTCTCAGCTCTTCCCACATCAACTGTGACAAGTCTTTACTTCTGTAAAGAAGTAACTCCCTTCTTTGTAGAGGAATAGACACCATGATTGAAGTCATGCAACCACAAGCAGTAATACCACCTGAGATCTGCCTTGGGCCTTTCTTCTCTGTCTTGACTCAAATCTGGGGTGTCTTGTACAATCACACAACCCTAAGGTGACTAGAAAAATCCCCTGCTCTCAGGCAATAATATTTTCTTTCTTTCCCACCTCAAAATGCCATGACTTGAACGTATTCATAAGTCTTCAGATGACAAGACCTTTCTACCTAAGGAATATTCTTCTTAAAAAATAGTAATTGTTATAGACTAAACATGATTGTCACCCATTGCCTCTTTTGCAAACCACAACACCCAATAAGATAGAGAGAACAAAAGGGAATGCCCTGCCAGAGAGGCAGGGTGGGATGAGGGGGATGGGGGTGGGAGGGATACTGGGATCCGTGGTAGTGGGAAATGGGCACTGGTGGAGGGATGGGTATTTGATCATTGTATAATTGAAACCCAAGCACAAAAATGTGTAAGTCTGCAACTGTACCTCATGATGTCTCACTATTAAAAAAATTTTAATAAAAAAATAAAATAAAATGAATAGTAATTGTTTATGTTGTCATCATCTGTACTCACAATGCTTTGGGCAAGCTAACTAAGGAGAAACTAGATATTTGTGCCAAAAGAATGAATAACTTTTAGAACAGCTGCTGTCTTTTGGCAAATGGATGGAGCCTTGAAGGACTCATAATTCCTGTGGCACATACAACCATCTGTACCCAACTGCAACAGTCTCCTCTTACAAGTTACTTTCCAGCCTAAAGTCAGAGTCACCTCTAAAATCTCATCCCCTGGCTTTTATGCCATCACTCTGACCTGAGTTCATCATGTAAAGCAGTACTCAACAGAACTATATTTGGCTGTTTTCCTATTAAGGCAACATGAATTTCTATGCTGATGACAAATTAATAGAAGACACTAAGACAAATCTTATTGATTCAAATCTCCCTATAATATGACTAAAGGGAAATTTTCGGGGGGGGGCAGAGCAATAGTACAGCAGGTAGGGTGTTCGCCTTGCACACAGCCGACCCAGGTTCAATACCCGGCACCCCATATGGGCCCCCAGCACTGCCAGGAGTAATTCCTGAGTGCAGAGCTAGGAGCAACCCCTGAGCATCACTGGGTGTGACCCAAAAAGCAAAAAAAAAGAGCAATTTTCAAAGTTACAAATTGGAAATACAAATCAAATTCATAATAAGCTGTAATACTGCTGCATGCAAGGCAGTACATACGGGACTTGCCTTGCATGTAACTGATCCGTTTGATCCCTGGCACCCATACGGTCCATGGAGCCCTGCCAGGAGTGATCCTTGAGCCCAGGGCCAAGAGTGAGCCCTGAGTACAGATTGATGTGTGCCCCCCCCCCAACCAACAAATAAACAAAGATCGTAGTGCGATATGAGCTCACAGCAAGGAGAATAGTTGTTACCCAAAGACAAGAAACAGACAAGGACAGGGGCTGATGGGGAGAGAAGGGACCCCAGAAATCAATATAGAAACTTTTAAAGAAAAAGATTAAAGGGAGAAATTCCATAGCAGCCCCCCTACTTCTGCATACTTATGCAAAAATACCCCAACATTTCAGAGATAGATGCACCCTCATGTTCGGTGCATTGTTTACAATAGCTGAGACCTGGAAATGTCCTGGGTATCTGTAGACTTAGAGGCACACAGAGAATACGGGGTCCATCTGCCTGAGTTCCCCAGCTTACTTGGCCTATCACCCTGTTTTCATAAAAATAATTTCTTGAGCCTCCTTCTTGAAGTCTACTCTCTTTAAGTGAAAAAAAGGAAGGCACCTGCCAATGACCTCAGAGACAACTACAGTCCCCCTGGATGTTTCCAGTGCCCCCAGAAGGGAGGAGGAGCATGACCCATCTATAAAAAAAAATGATCTACAAACTTACCACAGGTGGTGTGGAGGGGCACAGTTAGGACACAGAAGGGACCACTATGATAGTGATAGTTGGAAATGGTCAGTCTGGACAATTGTGTACGAAGGAGATGAAGGGATATACATGATAACTTTTCAGTGCCTGTATTGCAAACCACAATGCACAAAAGGGGATAGAGGATAGACGGAGAGACAGACAGACAGACAGAGACAGAGACAAAGAGAGAAAGAGAGAGAAACAGAGAGATAGACAGAGACAGAGACAGAGAGAGAGAAACAGAGAGACAGAGACAGAGAGAGACAGAGAGAGAACGCAGAGAGAGAACGCAGAGAGACAGAGACAGACAGAGAAGAAAAGTGTCTGCCACAGAGGCAGGCTGGGGCAGGTGGGGAGGGGGGTGGCGAGACAGAAACTGGGACATTGGGTGGGAAATGTGCACTGGTGAAGGGACAGGTGTTGGAACCTTAAATGACTGAAACCCAATCCTGAATAACTTTGTAACTGTGTTCCTCAAGGTGATTCCATATTTTTTTCTTAAAAAAAAACTTAACTACATGATATAAATCTACTCAGTTATAAAGAAAGGGGAAGGTCGTTTCTTGCGCAACAAGATGGGTGGACATTAGACTCAGTGAAACAAGGAGCATCAAAGCGTTTAAGTCTTGGACAGGGAGTTTTCATGGTCCACCCAGGAAACTTTCTCCAGAGAAGTAATTCTGAAGTGTGTGTTGGGGGTGGGGGGGAGTGGAGATGGGGGGAGGATGACTTGACTTGTTTTTCTCTGAAACAGGGACCAGCAGCTGCAGTATGTTTGCTCTCCCGTACCTTGGGACTGAGATTCAACCCAGAAGTTAATCTCTCGCCTGGACTTTTCAGTGTCTTTGCGGAAATCCACGCTTTCAAAAGTCGTGTGGTAAAACTGGATCACACCGTCCAAGTATTCCTGTTAAGTGAACAGAAATAGTGCGACAAAGTCATAGCCTTACACTAATGTTACAAGTATAATGAGAAAGATGCGCCTTTGGTACCCTACATAGCACTAAACGACTCTAGGACCGGCTTGGTTATCCAGAGGCATTTCCATTGCACTGACCAATCAGGGTGCGGAACGATTATCCAGCAAAGCTGCCCACAGTTACATTGCACACGCCTTTCCTCCTTTATTTGAATGCTCCATTTGTAAAGACATCTCAAGACAAACAATATCAAATAAATGGAGAAGCTTGGCTTTTAAAATATTCCTTTTTTTTTTTAAGAAATAAAACCTGGCTTAACGGCTACAGACCTTCTATGTGACATCATGAGGGGAAAAAAGTCTTGGAAATAGATAAGGTGATGCGCACATAACTGTGAACTGTAATTACTGGCCCTGAATCATTTACTTTGCTGCGTTTTAAAAAGCAAATTTTGCTTGCAGATATTTTACAATTCTAAATGCCAAAAGCTTTTATTTGTACATTTTTAGATGGCTGATTTATTTTACATGTGTATTGTGATATAAACACACTAAAGCTCGTTTTCCAAAGTTGGGTACTTGGCTTCTCATTTGCATGGAGAGAGGCACGCCACCGTCTCCCCTAAGGAGCTGGGCGTCGGCGCGGGGGGGGCAGCCCGTTCATTGCTAAGTGTGTGGCTCCCTCTAGTGGCCGGAGAGGCAATTGGCGCCCAACCAAGACACCTCGTTCTAGATGCTTTTTGGTCCCCAACACCCTCCTGTTACACCACTCACTTCTTACTTGGAGGAGGGCAGCCTGATCTTGGCACAAAGGGTGATTTTAGAGAGTTGTTGCCGGGAGTGGCCAGGGGACACGGGCAGAAGTATTACCAGGTGCAGCTGTCACGCACCTTGACTGGGAAAGAGTCATCCACCAGAGCGAGTCTTGCTCCAGTCCACCTGTACAGGGGACCACCCAGGCGCTACCGCTAGTGGCAGCAATCTGAACTCACCTGGTGTACCGGGAATTCCCGCTCTCCATACAACCTGTTGGCAATACTCAGGGTGTAATCCGCTCGGACCCTGTCCAGTTTGGACAGAAGTTGCCCGAAGTAGCAGCTGAGCACTTCACTCTGGTCTCTGGAAGACTCTGACTAAAACAGAAACAAACGGGGACAGTTTATCCCAAGAGTTAGACGCCACTAAAGCAACTTGTCCCAAGAATAGCCGAGATAAGTGCCAGGAGGATTACTCCATGGCTTTGAGGACAACGGCACACGCTAGGGGAAAAGGAAGCTCAGATAGAGAAGGGAGCACCAAATAAAGGGTGTTGGGAGGTTCCTCTCAGGGTGGGAAATGCGTGATGAGAGTAGACTATAGTCCGAACAAGATTGTCACTCAATGCCTCTTTTGCAAACCACAGCACCCAAAAGGAGAGAGAGAACAAAAGGGAATGCCCTGCCACAGAGGCAGGGTGGGGTGGGGGGGATGGGAGGTGGGAGGGATACTGGGATCATTGATGGTGGAGAATGGGCACTGGTGGAGGGATGGGTATTCAATCATTGTATAACTGAAACCCAAGCACAAAAATTTGTAAGTCTACAACTGTGCCTCATGGTGTTTCACTAATAAAAATTTAAGGGGAAAAAAAAGCAACTTGTCCTACTGCTTTGTCACCATCAGGAGGCAGTGGGGTGGGGGGGCACGCCGACAAAAGAGAGGATAAAATAGTTCCCAGAGCGAGGTCCAGGTGTACAAGTAGGAATAGTAGATATCAGGTCACAGGGAGGAACTATCCAAGCCTGTGCTCCCCATATTCAGCAGAATACACTGTGAGTGTTCCTCTTTCCTGTCTGACTTCAACAAGATACTGTTGGGGGAGGAGGTGTTAATTTATTTTTTTTATTGAATTACCATGAGATTAGAGCATTACAAAATTGTTCATGCTTGAGTTTCAGTCATGCAATGTTCCAACACCCATCACTTCATCAGTGTAATTTTCCAGCACCAGTGTCCTCAGTTTCCCTCCCACCCCTTCAAGCCATTCAAGCCCCCTCCCAGCCCAGCCTGCCTCAATGGCAAGCACCTCTCTTCAATCTCTCTTTCTCTCTCTCTCTCATTTTTGGCATTATGGTTTGCGATACAGATGCTGAAAGATTATCATGTCTATCCCTTTACCTGCTTCCAACACTCAGCTCTTGTCCAGAGTGATCATTTCTAACTAATATTCTCATATTGGACCCTCCTCTATCTTAACAATCCTCCATCTCCCACACGACTGGCCAACCACTGACCAGTCCTCCCGGACCTTTTCCCTGGCCTTGGATATTAGCTTCATACTGTTTTTTTTATATCCCACAAATAAATGCAGTTATTCTACATCTGTCCCGTTCCTTCTGACTCATTTCACTCAGCATGATACGCTCCAAATCTATTCATTTATAAGCAAATTTCATGATCTCATTTTTCCTAACAGCTTTAAGATACAGTTTTTTTTTAACTCCTCTCCAAACTGTGTGTATTTGTTGCTGGATAGAACCCACATATTATACATGCAAGGCAAATGCACACTTTACCACGGAACCTAACCCCAGGCCCTCACTAAAGGTGGAAGATACGTAACCCAATGAATCTCTCCTACTCCTGGTATGGGACCTCCATCAAAGTTTGTTGACACAGGTTTTTATCACTCCAATAGGGCAATGTGTAGGGAAGAAGAATCCTATGCCTACTGCTCTTTATCCTCCATCATACTCCATCCTGGCGCTGTCACAGTGGGGACACCGGAAGGTGTGACCCTAGTCCCTTTTTCATAAGCAGAAGACACTCGTCCTTCCTCTTAGATAAGCCAGAGCATGTAAAACACAGAAGACAGCAGGGTTTGTGGAGTCTCACCTGAGTCACAGAAGACCCTTTTGTTTCTTCCTGCCCTTTCGCAGAGTCCCCAGTCTCTCCTCGTGGTTTGCTTCTCATACACGGCTCTGGATTCTCACTTTCCTTCGGGGAAAATTCACTGAAGTGCAGCACCTGCGGGATGACAGGACGGGACTTTCGATGACGTGAGCGGCACAAGTTTAAGCAGTGCCAGAAACGTTTTTCTGATGTGCCGTGGCCATGGTGATGACGTCAGGCAAAGTGATCAACAACAAAACAAAGCAGATGTTTCTTTGGGCTTGAGCTGGGAGGTGCATGAGGAGAAGGAACCCGCCCCCCAGGTGCTGCACTGAGGAATGACCATGGCTCAAAGTCAGGGTCAGCTCAGACATGAGATCACAGCACCCTCTGAACTGTCTGAAAGCTGCATCTTGAAGACAGTAGAAGAATAAGTAAAATATCTCATAGATTTTCATTGCTAACATGTCAATATGAAATTTTGGTATAAATAAAATATACTGTGAGAGACTGACAAACATCAAAAAAGAACAAGGGGGAGGACAGGCGCAGTTAGGAGGGAGAAGGGACCACTATGACAAGGATAGCAGGAAATGATCACTTTGGACAAGCTGAGTGCTGAAAGGAGGTGATGTGATGTGCATGATACCCTTTCAGTAACAGTATTGCAAACTACAGTGCTTAAAGGGAAAATAAGAGAGGAGGAGTCTGCCATAGAGGTGGGCTGGGGGGATGGAGGGGCAGGGGGCAGGAAAACTGAGGACATTGGTGATGAGAAATGTTCACTGGTGAAGGGATGGGTGTTGGAACATTGTAGGACTGAACCTCAATCATGAAGATTTTTGTAACTGTTGGATCTCACACAGTGATTCAATTTTTAAAAACCCGTTAAATCTCATAATGGAGATAGATAGATAGATAGATAGATAGATAGATAGATAGATAGATAGATGCCACAGATGCAGAGAGAAAAGGACTCTTATTCACTGGGACTGCGGACTGGTCCAGGCTTTTTGGAAAATGATATGGGCATTTTTCAAAAATCTAGAAATTGACCCACCGATTTTACACCAGGGAATATAACCTAGGGGCCCAAAAACACAATGCAGAAAGGCCGTCTGCAATTCTATGTTCATTGTAGCATTATTTTCAGTAGCTAGAATCTAGAAATATCTCAAGCGCCTGAGAACAGATGACTGGCTAAAGAAACTATGGTATATCTACATAATGGAATACTATGCAGTCGCTAGGAATAATGAAGTCATGAAATTTGCTTATACGTGGATGAGCATTGAGAGTATCATGCAGAATGAAATGAATTAGAGGGAGGGAGACAGACATAGAAAATGATTGTTTTCATTTTCAGGATATTAAAAAAATCAGTATGAAATAGCAGAAAAGTATCTTATCTACTATCTTCTACTAGATAGATATCTCCTTCTATCTAGTAGGTAGATCTAGATAGATTCTACTATCTTTGAGAGTAGAAACAAGAGCCAGGAGGACTGGTCCATGGTTGGAAGCTTGCTACAAGTCAGGGGAGGGATAGAGCAGTTAAAACGGAAAAGGGACCACAATAACAAGACAGAAATGATTGTGCTGGAGAAGAAGTGGATGCTGAAAGGAGGTGAAGGGATAAACATGATAAACTCTCGGTACCTGTATTGTAAACCACGATGGTAAAAGGAGGGGGTAGAGGGAAGGAGAAGAAAAGTATCTGCAGTAGAGGCAAGTTAGGGGGTAGTAGAGGAAGGGAAACTGGGGACATTGGTGGTGGGGAATGTACACTGGTGAAGGGACAGATGTTGGAACATAGAATGGCTGAAACCCAACCTTGAACAATTTTGCAACTGTGTATCTCATTATGATATACTGTGAGGCTAGTCTCACATTTTTCTTTCTGTTTTCTTGGTACGACACTAAAATAATTGTAACAAGATACCTGACTCCGATTATACTTGCGTTCAGTAGTGCTGATCTAGTTATAAATCAATCAAGCAAGTGAAGGCAGCAGAGGATAAATTGTCCAGGTGCTACAGAAATGGTTGAGTGCAGAAAGTTGCGGACACAGCTAGCTCAGCTTAGGATAGGTTGGAAGGCAGAAGTCCCTATGAAATCAGTGCTGGAGGATAACAGCCACACTTTGGAGATCAGTTTTGCTAATGGAGTCATAGTCTAGGAAAAGTAAGTGCATCAAGCAGGCTGATCCTCAATTCCACCCTAATCAGAGAATGCATTCCCCAGCTGAAAGAAGAACACTGTTAACGCAGAAACCCTGTGCCAACTCCAGAGAAGTAGGAGACCGAGTCTCTGGAGTCTGTGGTTGACTGGGAGAGCTTTTCTTGCCACTTTTATTCATTCTACAAATTGATTTTGGGGTGGTTGTTAGAAGCGGAGTTCTGTTCTAGGACAAAAATTCATTCTGCATCGAACAAGGCAGACTCAAAGCAAAACCCATGGTAATTAAGTGACTATAGGCCATAGTGGACACAAGAGAAACACCATGCCTGGTGAAAGTCACCAGGATGGAAGGTTATGGGGCAGGATGCAGCAGTCTTAGAAGGAAAGTAGAGGAAAGTTCTCACTGAAGTGATGATAAACTGATCCATCACCCTCCTAAGAAAGAACATCAGAGATAATTTGTTGGGGTGGAATGAGCACAAGGCATGGAGCCATGGCCCCAGGAAGCCAGGAGGTCAGTGTGAAAGAGGGCAGAGAGAATTGGGTAGAATCACCAGGTTTTCTGAAGCTCATATCCCTAGACAGTGAGCATATCTGCATTTCGTCAGCAAAATAAGAATTCCAGGTTCTCTGCAGATAAAAATGACTTCAGCGCTGGAGTTACAGTATAGCATGTCAAGCATTTGCCTTGCTCACAGCTGACCTGGGCTAAGTTTCTGATACCTTATATGTTCCCCCAAGCCTGCCAGAAGGAATCCCTGAGTTCGGGGCAGAACAACTTTGGTTTAAAGTGGATCTCTAGGCAGCAGAAGCACGCTAGGGAGTGGTGTCCAGGTTGGACGGAAGCAGATAATGGTGCCTCAGATCTCAGAGATGATAAAAGTCCCTGAGGTCTGGATCATTCTGGAAAGAAAAGATAGCCAGATTTTCTGACAAATTGTTTGTGCTGTTGGAAAGAGACAAGACAAAGCGGATGGGAAATCCTCAGTCACTAGACCTGAGACTGATGTTCATGTTCATGAATGTGTACTTCATAGAAGGAATGAGCGAGAAAACACAAACACACTCTAAAAGAGACTTGCAATTGTCTCTAACTACGAGACAGATAAGGAGGGTGGAGGAGAAAGCTGTCAGATCTTGAGGTTGGAGAGAAGTCAGAGAGAGGGGAGGCCTCCTTGGGACCTTAAGGAGCAGCTGAATGGAAGAGAAATCAAGCCAGGCCTGTAGCAGAATGCACACGGCTTGCCACAGTGGGACTGAGGCCCGACACTCACAGTGGCCTTTGTTCCTGTCTTCTCACCTTGTCGATCTGTTGGGCACTACCATGTCTGGCCCCCAGGCGGACCATGCTGAGAGCAGCTGAAACACTCAGAGGACAAAAAAAGATGTTTTTATCCTCGTGATTTTTGCTTATCTCTTGAAAAAGGTCAAAACAAAATTTGCTGTTTGCTTCAACAAGAGAATCCATTGTGAAATTGAAGATAGGCTAAAATATAGAAAAAGAGAGACATAATAATAATTAGGATGAAGTAAGTAATTCTCACATTAAGTACCTGAGACTTAATTATACACAATGGTATGTGTTAAAAAACTGCAACACTCAGGTCACCCACATCTTCATGACAGATATTTACTCCAATAGTGATGCCACAATAGACAGGGGTTTTTATGCAGTGGTGTGGAATATGTTTCCTAGGGCTGCTCAAGAAAATTTTGAATCGTCTGAGATGCAGTTACAAAGCTTTCATGTTTGAGTTTCAGTCATACAAAGATCAAACACCCATCCCTGCACATTTTCCACCAACAATGTCCTTCATATCCCTCCCACCACCCCCATTCCGCCCCATCCCCTGCCTCTATGGCAGACACCTTCCTTCTTATTCTCACTCTACTTTTGGGCACCATGGTTTACAATACAGATACTGAGAGGCCGTTGTGTTTGGTCCTTTTTCTGCTTTCAGCACACATCTCTGATCTGGAGCCATCCTTCCAACTATCGTTGACTTAGTGGTCCCTTCTTTATCCCAACTTCCTTCTCCCCCGGGCTGGAGCAATAGCACAGCGGGTAGGGCGTTTGCCTTGCACGCAGCCAACATGGCCAACCCGGGTTCAATTCCTCTGCCCCTCTCGGAGAGCCCGGCAAGCTACCGAGAGTATCTCGCCCGCACAGCAAAGCCTGGCAAGCTCCCCGTGACGTATTCAATATGCCAAACACAGTAACAACAAGTCTCACGATGGAGACGTTACTGGGCCCGCTCGAGCAAATCAGTGAACAACGGGAGGGCTGGACCAGACCGACCTTCTTCCCCAGCACTTAAGTCAGGCTTCCAACTGAGGACCAGCCCTCCCGGTCCTTGTCTCTACTGTCCTCAGATGTTAGTCTCATAATGTGCTATTTTATATTCCACAAATGAGTACAGTCATTCTACGTCTGTCAAGAGGGGTCTATTTTTTACAAGAGGGATTTGCTGTCCCAGAGATCTGGAGACCAGAACCCAAAATAGAATAGAATTGAAATTGGTTCATTCTGAAGCGTCTTCCAAAAAACGTGTTTTAATTCCTCTTGGGAGAGGTTTTGGGGGTGTTCTGAAGTCCTTGGCTTGCAGCGGCATCCCTTCCCTCTCTCTTCCACCTATACTTGGTTTCTTTCCCTGAATCTTGTGTGTTCTGTGTGTCTGTGTGTGTGTGTGTGTGTGTGTGTCAAAATTTCTCTTTTCTTATAATGTACATGAGTCATTAAATTAGAACCCACTCTAATTCCACTCTGTTCTAATTGTCACTTGATTACCTCTGCAAGAACCCTATTTCCATATAAGGTCACAGTCTCATGTACTGGGCATTAGAACCTGAACATCTTTTGAGGGACACGATTCTACACATTTTATAAGATAACTTCCTTTATTCCCATAAAATAAAGCCCTAGCTCTTTTTTCCTCATGGTCCAGTTACCAGCAAGAAAACCTCATTCCACCCCTCTTTACATGCTTCTGTCCAAGCATAATTCTCAGTGTTCCGTGAGTGACAACTCCAGCTTTTGTCAAAGGCCACGCCCTCTGCTGACAATCTCACTTTCTTTTGGTGTTCGCATATATAATCTATAGTAGTGGAGCACTATAAATTTGGTAATGTTCAAGAGATTACAGCATCTTGAGAGATGCTGGAAGAGGGAGCAGTATGATTAGTTTTAATGCCTCATTACAGAGTAGAACCACAGTAACAGGAAACCAAAATAAGACAGTGACTCCTTTGCAATGGGCTCCTTGACCCCCATCAATAATCTAGTCCAAAATATCAAGATATCCTTCTACAAATCTTGCCTTGAAACTGTTGCTCTCATATTAAACATCTTTTGTCACTCTGCTGATGGTTATCATGTATTTCCAAGATGGAAATGCAAGCTCCCATCTGATATTTTTATCAAACATGAGGCACAGAGTAAACCTTAAGAAATTATTATTGCACTGGTTTCTGTGGCAAGAATTGAGTTTTGCATATACCCAGTTTATATTGTTGACTTTTTCAGTCTACAAAACCTAATTTTAAAAGATAACACTTTTGTGGTTTTATTGTTCACTCTCGGTGACTTTGCTTTACATGCACGTAACTCAGATCCTGTTTTATGGATCAATTTAAATTTTGAGAATATGTCTCTCCAAGAAGTCAATCTTCTGGGTGGGGGGTTGTCAGAAGATCTGTCATTTCTGCTTAGTGATACAATAGACCAGGCCATGAAACGACTGTGGTGGTTAGGGGTCTCTGCTCTAACTCAGGCAGTTACTCATGGAATTCTGGCCTTGGAAGTGGCCACAGTGGGGCCTGCCACACACTTCCAGAGTTGCCAACCCCTTTTGAACCAGATTCAACTCAAGTCCCCGTTGGATATGAATGGTCGTGCTACAGCTGTTACATGAGTCTGGGAATAAACCCTCTTTGAAAAATATATAAATAAAAGAAAACAAGACACTTTGTGAGGGGGTCTTTGGGGTCATGCCCAATGATGCCCAATGAGTATAAAATCCACTTCTGTGCCTGGGTCACTCCCAACAGTGCTCTAGAGACCATGCAGTACCAGGGATGAACCCAGGCCTCCTGCATGCTCGCACACACGTGCTCCTCAGGTTCTCTGGCTCTTGTTTTAAGTTTAAAATATATGCCAGATCTGTGTTTTCTATAAAGTAAGTAAAGGTAAAGGCCCTCCCGTTGATCATCGATTTGCTCGAGTGGGCCCAGTAAACGTCTCCATTGGAGACTTTGTTGTTACTGTGTCTGGCATATCAAATACGTCACGGGGAGCTTGTGTTTTCTGTGTTTTCTATAGAAGGACTCAAATCCTACTCTTGGAGGTAGTATTATCACTGCCTGTTTACAGAAGATAAAACTGAGGAATCAATTTTCAAATTACAAAATTTTGGCCCAATTAAGTGTCATTTCTATTCTGTCATTGCTCCTAAGTTTCTCATCAATGTAGGACAGATTGATCAAATACAAGATTACACGTCCTAGTTCTTTCTCCCTTGTTCAACTATGGCTATCAACTGCCAAATTCCTGTGTGGTTTGTATTTTCACTTTGTGCCAGAAAAGAGTGGTTCATAGAGATGTTTTCTAAGAAACTCTGGTCCTGGGTATGTATTCAATACAAAAATCGCACTTGCACATGTTGAAAAATATCACTACATCCAACTTGTTCTTTCAAGAAAATTTGCTCACTTAAAATTTTCTCACTAACTTAAAAGCAAATATACCTAGTTAGAGAAATCAAATAAATTAAGAAGGTCTAAGAGGGTTTCACAGGCAATTGTTAAACAATAAAATTTGGGGGGCTGGAGAGATAGTCTAGCGGGAAGGGTGTTTGCCTTGCAAACAGCCAACCGGGTTCAATTTCCAGCATTCCATATGGTTCCCCATGCACCGCCAGAGTGATTCCTGAGTGTAGAGCCAGGAGTAGCCCCTGAGCACTGCTGGGTATGACCCAAAAAGAAAATAAATAAATAAATAAAATTTTGGATGAAGAAGCAGCCTGTGTTTTAATGCTTGGTTTTATTGCCAAGGCTAATATTGGGTCAAAATCTTTAAGCAGAGAAGGTAAAGAACCTTCTGATTATTTGTTTGCTACAGTTTAAAGAAGACTAGAGACAGGGACTCTTAAAGGAAAAGAGGGGGGTTGTACTGAAAACTGAATGATCCCAGGATGGCCCTTTAAATGTCACAACTCTGCTCAATTTCACTCTTGCTTCGCGGTGTGGATGTGCTCTTGGCATGCGAGTGGAGGGTGGTTCTCTCTGGCATGAGCAGGCACAGATGCTAGGAGTCTTACGTGCCTTTGGAAAGGACACGATTGCTCATGCGGGTCAACTCCCTTCTTCTCCAGATGCAAACAACTGAAAGCCAGGGGATGGGAACCGACTTGCGCACACCCGTCCCTGCCAACCCAAGAGCAAGGCTCAGGTCTCCCAAGCACAGACTCTGCCTTGCCACGTTTCTAACTTTGCTGTTACCCTTAGTCTGTGAGCCCCAGGGTACCCCCAAATTCTCCCTCTTCACTCATGCACAAAGAGCATGAAATCCACACTAAGTTTCGTGAACTCTCAGGGGTCCCCTAACCTGACTTTCTACTATCAAGTTCTCACCCAGTAACATTTTTCTGCATCTTCCCTAGCAAACTAGTTCTAAACTTCCATTACAGACTACCTAGCTTTCTTGCTGGCCCATCTTCCAAGCTGAGCATGATATTCTTTCATAGTTATCGTATCAGAAACCTGTTTAATCTGACATCAACCTATGGGTCAATGAATATTTTTAAGGTTTTCCCACTGGGTTAGTCGCTGTATCTAAAAGGATGACTTTTTTTTTAAATAAAAACACAATTTTGCCTTTGAGCAATCCACCATGGATCAGAGTAGATGCGACAATGTCAGCAGTTACAGGAAAGAAATAGTTAAATAAGCAGAGTTCAATTTGGTAGCAATTTACAAAATAAAATGGGAAAGGCAAAAAAGCATTGTGTAGGAAGATTGTTTTAACAGTACCCAGCAAAATTTAGTTACTCTAGTAATACAGATCAAAAAACGTGACTCAAAATATAATGCTTTTAACATAAAGTTCAGTATATAAAAGTCATTCTAGGATGTGTCCTTATAACAAAGAATCAAATCAAGAGTCAGATAGCACTGATTTTCTTGGTCTCATCAAAAAGTTATTTTACATCAAATACTAATCTTAAAATTACTCTTGAAAAAAAATAATGACTGAACTATGGTTTCCAAGTTCATTGGATCTATAAATACTTATAAATACCAACTTAGAGGAAAACAGAAAAGGTAAGAGATCAAAGCAAAATTTTATATTTAAAAAATTTGTATTTACAAAGATCTTCATAACAATGCTTTCGTAATAACCAAAGTTCAGAAACTACTCAAAGATACATCAGCTATACTATAGATAATTTGTGGCTTAGTTCACATGATGAA